CCGGGTCTGTGAATGCTGAGACCAAAGCCAGGTGGGCCTGGGGAGAGTGGGGGGAACGGGGAGACGGGTTCTTGGTCCATAAACACCGCCTCCTGTTGTCTGTCTTCCTGGACTCCCGTGGGCAGAGGGGCCATCAGCAAAGGCCTCGGACAGGAATCAGAAGAGACAGATCGGGGTGCCCTGTGCTCCCAAGCCAACTGCTCCTGCCTCCCCCTGTGCAGAAGCTGCCATGGCTCCTCCCCTGCCATCGGGCTGTGCAGCACAGCTGACGGGTGGGGAGGGTGGTGTGTGAGGGTCAGCTTTCCACCGCAGTTCCTAAGCCAAAATGGGCTGCCCGAAGGAGGCAGGGAGCGTCCTCCGGATATTTAAGCGGGAAAAGCACATTTAGAATCTGGCCGTCACCAATGGCTCCATGCGGTGGCCTCCAGTGTCCCTGCCCCAACCCGGGCTTCTCCACTACAGGGTCTGTGGCAGCGTAGCAGCTAAAAGTGTATGTTTCCCTACCGGCCTGGCTACGGACCCCAGCTGTGTTCTTGTGAGCTGTGGCTTCAGCCAAGATGCTTCCCCCCTGAGCCTCAGTCTCTCCATCTGTAGTATGGGGATGTTTATGCCTGCTTCACTGAGTTCTTGTGGGGATCTGGTTCAGGACACTGGCACATAGTAAGTGCTCAATAAAGAGCAGACACCAATAATATTCTTATAAAAAATAATAATATTCTTATGAAATGGGGACGTTATTTCATAAGAATATTATTAGTGCTTACCCCCATGACTCCTGGTTATCGGAACCCAGGGCGGGAGCGGGGAGGGGCAGCCGGCTGGTGGGACCTGCTCTTCCCAAAGGGCAGAGTCCGCTGGGTGGTGCTGCCTGTGCCACTTCCAAGGACGGCTGGGAGGCGACTTTGTCGCCAGCATCCGGGGCAGCAGCTGCCTCCCTCCCAGCTGAGAGCTATGCAGGGGGAGGCGGGCAGGAATGTGGGCACGGCGCCAGGGCAGCCACTCCCTCCAGGGCCGGAGAAAAGTGCTGAGCTCCCAGCCCAGGAGCTTTGCTGCCAGTCTCGCCAATGGAATGGGGCCTCCCAGGCAGGCCCCACGCCGGGCTCTCAGCCCAGCCTCCCCTTGCCCTGGGGATTCAGGACCCTCCATGGGACCAGGAAGAAGAGGGGGGCAGGCAGGCAGGCAGGGAGGACAGATTTTGGAATCTTGCGATCTGCCAACTGGGTGACCCTGACTGGTTGCTGCCCGCTCTGGGCCCCTGTGCCCCCACATAACATGAAGGGGGTAGACCAGGCTGTTCAGATGGCTCTCCTGTGCCAACTCTTCCCCTGGATCCTCTGAGCCTCCTGCGGCCTCCGTTCCAGCTCAGGGAGGGCTGATGGATGAGAGACACCCCCCCTCCCAGCCAGGGGGGTTCCTGTTGCCCTCCCACCTAGAACGTGGTTCTCTCCTGTGTGGCCAGTCGCCCGCCTGCGGGGGCCACAATGACAGTCTCTGCCTTTGTCGCTTCCCTCCCTGGAGGAGGAGGGACAGGGGAGTAACCTAGGGCCGGGGCTCCTCTCTCCCTCTGTGTCCTGTCTTTCCACCTCCCCCAGGGGCCGGGTCTCTGAGGTAGGCCTTGTGGGGGGAGTGGGGGGATCTTCAGAAAAGAGGGAGATGCTGGAGGGACCTTGAGGATATGTTGTTCACCCCCTGTCTCCTGGCCAGTCTACCACAGGCGTGTCCGCCCAGCCATGCACCATCGGGCCTGGCGCCAGGGGAGAAGCCGTTGTAATCTTTATTATCAGGAATGTGGTTGTCACCATTATGTGCTAAGCACTGAACATAGTGTCTGGCTCTCAAAAGGTTCTCAGTGGCCACTGTGGTTATAATGACATCAGCAGCTTTTAAGCACTTGCTGTGTATGAGGCGTTGTATATCTCTGGAATCTTTGGTCCTAAAGGTAGATATGAACAATAATAAATTTATTTTATTTTTTTAAATTATTTATTTGTATTAAGTGCTTACCCTAGACCAGGATCTGTGCTAAGGGTCTCTTTTGACCCTTTCCTCAGTCCTGAGATGGGTCCTCTGATACCCAGGATGGGGAAATTGAGGTTTTGGGGAACAGGTGATTTGACCAGGGTCACCCAGCCAGCAGGTGACGGGTCAGAGGTTCAGACCCAGGTCAGTCTCAGCAGAATTGATGTGAGCACAACCTTTCAAGGTCATCTTCAGGTTAACCCTGGTACCTGGCTGCGCCCACCCATGTCAGAGCCCACCCATATGTGGGTGCCCGCTCCCGGGATCTCATGGGAATAGCCTTCTCCAATGTCACCTCTGGGGGCCCAGCTCCCACCCCAGTACCTGGCCCCTCCCTGACCTCCGTCACACACACCCCTTCTTGGCTATCAATCCACTGGCACTTTGGCCAGTCCCTGCATTGCCCCCCTGGGGGCTGGAGCCGCCCAGGACGGAGCCCAGGCTCAGTAATTGATCGACCTTTGATTGATGCAGGCGGCGGCTCAAGCTGTGGTTTAGGCTGCAGCCCAGCCAGGCCCAGAGCTGCCAAAGACCAAGCGATCCAGAGCCCAAGTGTGCGTCCAAGTTTGGACACTGTATCTGCACTTCCTCTGAAACTGAGCCGCCTCCAGCTGCGGGAGAAGCCCGGCCGCTGAGCAGTAAATAAAGCTGGGCTCAGGAGAGGGCGGGGTGGCGGAGAGTGGAGTGAGGGAATCGGAGGGAGGGGGTTCAAATCCCCGGCCTGCTGGTTCTCGGGCCAGTGCCTTCACCTCTGCAGCCCTGGCTCCCTCCTCAGTCCCACGGGGACAGAGTGCTGACCTCCCAGGATGGCTGAGCACAGGGGGTGTAAAGAGAACATTCCTGTTGCATAGTAGGAGCTTGCTGATAGTAACGACATCTTGTTACAGGGGTGGAGCCAGCTCTGGATGCAGGTGCTGAGTGCTGGCGTGTATGAGCCCAGCCCTCAGTGACCTGGGGCGAGTCGCCAGGATGGCAGGGGGTCTCAGCCTTGGCTGGAGGCTTACGTGGCACCAGCTGCCGGAACCCAGGCAGCCAGCACCGGCCCTGGCATGCCCCTGACCTTCGCTGGAACCCAAGTTCAGGAAGCGGTCGGAGCCTTGTTTTCCCAGGAGGGGAGCCCCTGGGAAAGCTGGTGTCCTCGCCAGGCTGTTCCCACCCTATCCCTAAGGGCCACCCAGCCCCTTCCCAACTGGCAAACAGACCCCAGAGCAGGAAGGAGGGGCCACTGCCTTGCCCCCCGAAAGGTTCCTCCAGCTCTGAGTAGCGCCTGGACCGTGGGACCATGGGCCTGCCCAACCCTCAGACTCCCACAGCCCTCTACGCACTCGCATCTGCTTCCAGCCCAGCCATGGCCACTGCCCCGGGGACCGCGGGCCCGTCTGTCCCCACTCCGCCCGCTCGCGTGGGGGGGAGGAGCTCGGGACCCTGTGTTCCCTGTGCCGCACCATTGCCAACCACTGACTCACTTGCTCGGGATCTATTTATACCCCTCGCACAAATGCTCCGCTCAGCGCTCCAGGCAGGCGTCTCTGTGCTGCTGGCAGCCCCAGGACATGTGGAGGGGCTGGGCCAGACCAAATGTGCCGGTTGATAAGCCTTCGCCATCTCGGGGGAGGGGATAGGCCAGCTCTTTTTTTCACTGCTGTGTGACCTGGGGCAGGACACTGAACCTCTCTGAGCCTCCATTATAAAATACTTGTTTTTAAAACTTTTTATTGATTTTAGAGAGGAAAGGAGAGGGGGAGAGAGACAGAAACATCGGTGATGAGAGAGAATTATTCATTGGCTGCCTCCTGCGCACCCCCGGGGATGGAGCCCGCAACCCGGGCATGTGCCCTGACTAGGAATCGAATCGTGACCTCCTGGTTCAGAGGTGGATGCTCAACCACCGAGCCACGCCGGCCGGGCAAAAATAAGGTTATTTTGAGAATTAGGTACAATAGAGTATGTCAGGTTCCTGGCACAAGGACAGGTTTCTGAGAGTGGCTGCTGTTAAGTGCCCAAAGCCGTATGACGCTCGTGTGCAGCTGGAGAAGGGAAGGGGCGGGAGCCCCGAGGAGGACAGAGGATGGAGATGTGTGTTTAGATAGCAATGTCCTGTCTTCAGCACAGGTTTCTGGACCTTAGCCCCTCGTCACCCAGCCAGCTAAGGCCTTGGGGACTGTACCAGGTTTCATGGGCTCAGAAGGCCCATCCTCCCGGCCCAGCAGGAGACAGGCAGGCCGGCTCTGCTTGGCCTGACAGAGGGCCCGGCTGGTCTGTGCAAACAGCACCACGTCTGCCGAGTTGCGCCCCACGGTAGCGCCTCCCCTGCCCAGGGCCCCGGGCCAGGTCTGGAGGCCAGCGCCCACCAGGCTCTTACCCAGGAGGCCAGTGAGAGGGACGCTTAGACTCCCCTCCCCACCCTGTCCTGGCTGTGCCGGGCGCTGGGTGATAGAAAGAGACCTGAACCGTCATCTAATCACAGCTCGCTGCAGCTGCCCTGCCCAGCTCGGTCCCTGAGCACACCCAGCCGCCCCTCCTGTGACCTCTGGGCCTGCCCTGTGACACATAGCGCCTTCTGCCTCCCTCCTGGGAGGAGGCATGGATAGGAGAGAGATGGGGTAACCCTGGAAATGGCCAATGAATGCTAACATGAGAGCCCACCCCACCCCCAATCCGTACCCCCGTGGTATTGCGAACTTCCTCTCCCTGCTTGTTCAGATCTCATGCGGGACAGAGGGGCTATGGCTTCAGCTTCCTTGTACAGCAGGCTTGCCCAAAACAGTACTTTTTTTTTTTAACATGCAGGAGGCTACCACGCCAGGTAGTGAGTTCCCCGTCATCAGAGGTAACCAAGCCCTCGTTGGGCCATAGATCAGGACTCCGTCTGGGACCTCAGCCTGGTCCATGATGGCATGTTGGTGGGAGGTGCCCTCTGAGCCCTGGCACACCGTCTGCGGTGTCCGGACGTCCTCAGGCCTATCTCCTTGTGCTCACAGATACGATGCCGGCCGAGACGGCTTCATCGACCTGATGGAGCTCAAGCTCATGATGGAGAAACTCGGGGCTCCCCAGACCCACCTGGGCCTGAAGAACATGATCAAGGAGGTGGACGAGGACTTTGACAGCAAGCTCAGCTTCCGGGAGGTAAGAGCCCTCTGCCATCGCGTGCATTGTCCTTGAGCTCAGGGGGTTTGTCTTCAGTGAGGAGGGACATCCATTTCTTGTCGTGAGCCCTTACGAAGTGACTTCTGTATACCCGGCCCTGTGAGGGCTCTGGGGGTGCAGCGAAGGCCCTGTGCCCCACGGTCCTAGAGGGCAGAGTGGGAGACGTCAGCGTGAAATGACACGCTGCTGTGACTCAGGAGGAGAGGGGGCGGGCGGAGGGAGTGACGGGGGCTGCGGGTCCGAGAGGAGCTGAGGACGGGGGCAGTTTGCATGCCGGATCCCTCTCAGGCCTCACTCTGAGACGGGACCCACGGGCAGGCCTGTCCTGTGGAGGGGTACGGGCCTCCCCCAGTGGCAGTGGACCCCAGACAGCATAGGGTTAAATGCTGGGGGGGCGAAGAGGGGGGGGGGGGATAAGAGGCCTCCAAAGAGCAAGGGCCAGGCCTTGGAGAACTAGCAGGCAGCACAGAGAAAGGGGCGGGCAGTTCAGGATAAGGGTTTGGACTCAGGACATGGGTTCACATCCTCCGTCCGTTTCTGGGGCTGAGATTTGGGGCACATTCCTTCTTGTCCCTGGACCTTCCTCATTCTGTGACGTGGACCCCGTCTTGTCTTGTTAGGACTCGGTAAATGGGGACGTAGCGTGGATTAGTCTGGGGAACGTGGGAGACCGCGTTGAGAGGTAACCCCAGGCCGGGTCATCAAGACTCCTGGTAGCCGCTGAGCGTGGACCAGCAGGCCTGCCGTAGCCCCGCGTCCTGGGAGGGCAGGAGCAGGGTCCTCTGGTGTCCCATTGTACAGATGGGCAGACCAAGGCCCGGAGAGGAAAGGCAGAACCCAGACCCCCCAGCTGGTCCCAGGGGGGCCGGCTGGGGCTGGGGCGGCTCCCTTCCCTCGCCCTGACACCCCCGTTTCTCTCCCCCGGCAGTTCCTCCTGATCTTCCGCAAGGCGGCGGCCGGGGAGCTGCAAGAGGACAGCGGGCTGCACGTGCTGGCCCGGCTCTCCGAGATCGACGTCTCCACCGAGGGCGTCAAGGGGGCCAAGAGCTTCTTTGAGGCCAAGGTGAGGAGTGGGAGGAAGGACCGAGCCCGGTGCTGCCAAGGCCGGGGGTGGCCGGGATGTGATGGGCCCTGGGTTAGCTCGAGGGTCAGCAGCCCTGCCTGCCCTGAGAGGCTGCAGGCGGGGATGGGGAGCTGACGCTCAGGCTGTGATCCTTTCCCGCTGCCCCTGGGGTGGGTGAGGGGTGTGTATTCTTGACGAGGGGACAGTGGCCCCTGGCCACTAACTCAGGACCGGGCCGTAAAGGGTAGGCCCAGAGATAGGAGAGCAGGCCCAGAAACACACACTGGCTCCTGGGGCCTGTGGGAGACATTGCCCCGCCTGAAGGATGTATGGTGCACCCCAGAGGCCACTTACATGCACAGCACCCTTTCAGCACACACTCAGGAGGAGGGGAGCTCAGATGGAAGGGACCGTGGTTCCGGATCCCAGATCCCGGCATCCCGGCCCACCTTCCCTTGTTCCTCCCTCTTCCCATGTTAGCCAAGAACATTCCTTCAAAGGTCGCCTTCCCCCTCCTCCTGGGCTTCTGGGGCTGAGGGGGTGTTCAGGTCCATCGGTGGGGGACCCCAGGCAGCTGTCTCCCCGAGACAGGAGGCAGGTTAACAATGCAGCGTCCGAAGCCCCCACATACAGGACCGCGCCGTGCAGCGGCCGCTGAGCCTGTGTTATCTCTGTCAACGAATCCACGGGGTCAGGGTTATCGAGCTTCAGGCTCTCAGTGGAGACACGGAGGCTCCAGCAGTGACTGAAGAGCCCTGCCCAGGGCAGTGAGAAGGGGAGCCGTGTGGGCACTGCTGGGCGGACCCCAGAGAAAGCCCATGTGGTGGGGCCTCAGAGACCCCTCCAGCCCTCCGCCATCACCTCCTCCCTCCGCCAGGTGCAGGCCATCAACGTATCCAGCCGCTTTGAGGAGGAGATCAAGGCGGAGCAGGAGGAGCGCAAGAAGCAGGCGGAGGAGATGAAGCAGCGGAAGGCCGCCTTCAAGGAGCTGCAGTCCACCTTCAAGTAGCCGGCCCCGGCCCGGAGCCCCGGCCGGCGAGGGAGGTGGAAGGCGGGCAGAGCGGAGGCTGAGCTGGGGTCCTCCCTGTGTCTGAAGGGACCACACTGAAACCCACACACGTCTGTGAACACAGCCCATCGAGGGCCTGGCAGGGGCGGCCGGGCCTCTCCCGCGCTCTGCCACGTTCCTGAGGCCGTGCCCCCAGCGCTGGCTCCTGGCCGGCCCGGCCCCCCTATGTCCCTGCCTCTCTCGCACCCCTGGCTGTCCCCCACCTGCTCCAGCGCTGCTCCCTGCCCGTGAGCCTGCCTGCCATGCACGCCTCTCCCTGCCTCCTCCCCTCCTGCCCAGAGGCCTCCTGCCCTTCACTGGCAGGCTGACCGCCCCTTCCCAGCCTGGGGGAGCGACAGATGGCAGGAATTTCGGCTGGCTCGTAGAGGGGGACCTCAGGGTGCTCCACGCCCTGCACCTGTTCCTCCAGCCCGCCTCCTCCCTGCTGGCATGGGAAGGTGGGGGGTGAGCAGGGGAAAGGCTTCTATTTTTGTGAAGGGACCCAGGCCCTGGCACCCCACGCCACCCCAGTGCTCGGCCCAGCCAGGCAGGGTGAGGGGACAGCTGTGTCAATCTACCTCACTCTCGCAGCCACGGCAGGGAAGGCTCTGGGGGCAGAACACCACCTAGTCCCCGGGGACAGTCTGAGGGTTCCAGGGGTCTCTGGAGAGAGCAGGGGGGGTGGGGTCAGGGGCGCCCCTCACAGGAAGGAAACCAGTGACGTCTCCGCCCTCCAGGAGGCGCCCCAGAAGTGCTTTAAGAGGTTTGCATAGACCAGGCCGTGGGGAGCCGGGAACCTCCCTGGGCCTTTCACACACCCCTTCCCCAGAGGGACTTCCACGGCCTTGTCACCAGCAACTGGACTGTCCTGTCACCCCCCCACCCCCACCCAAAGGAAGCATGGGGACCCCAGCCCCCCTGTGCCGCCAGCCCGGTCCCGCGCAGCCCCCATGTGCTCGCTCACGTGTGTGCGTGTCTGTGTGTGTCTGTCGCTGTGTCGTGAAGCTGTGCCCGCCACCCAGTCCCAACCAGTGAACGGCCCGCCGGGGCCACGGTTATGCAACTTCTCAGTGTGTGTCCCGACAGCGCCCCCTGCTGTTCAGACCCCATAACTTTATTTTAGTAAAAATGCCCCCAAGAGTCTAAGAAGCCCCCGTCGGACATGCAGAGGTTTTATTTTTTTGGCCTTAGAATCTACAGAAATAAGTGGGCCCTGACCCCCCGCGGCGGCCCCGGCCCTGGATTGCGTTTGCCTTAGTGGATCTGTTTACACAGATGAATATAAGAAGTTCCTTTTCTTTGGCTTGTTGCTTTTTTTTTTCTTCTTCTTCTTCTCCCTTCTCCTCCCCACCCTCCCAAAGAGCTACTTCTTCATTCGGTGGTACAATTATTTTTTTTAAACTAAAATAAGATAAAAATTCTATATTCTTATGTGCACGTGGTTCTTATCGGCTGGTGGGGAGGGGGGGTGTGGGGAGGAGGCGAGGGCTGAGGTCACCCGGGTGCCAGGGGTCTCCTGTGTGGTGTCGGAAGCCAGGGGTGAGGGGCCCTTCCTAACGGGAGAGGCGGAGTCTGCTGTCCACCTGCTGACACTGGATACAGGTTAACGCGTTTAATCCTCACAGCCAGCCCGGGGTGGGTGTCCTGTTTCTTTCCCAGACAAGAACAGGGCCGAAGCCGGTTTGGCTCAGTGGATGGAGCATTGGCCTGTGGTCTGAGGAGTCCCAGGTTTGATTCTGGTCGGGGGCATGTGTCTTGGTTGCGGGCACATCCCCGGTAGGAGGTGTGCAGGAGGCAGCTGGTCAATGTTTCTCTCTCATCCATGTTTCTAACTCTCTATCCCTCTCCCTTCCTCTCTGTAAAAAAAAAAATCAATACAATATATTAAAGAACAGGGAGACCCAGAAAATGTCCCACAGGCAAGCAGGGTGCAGGCCAAGGGCCACTGAGCCCCCAGCCCGTGCCCCCAGCCAGTTCAGGGGGACATACATGTTCATGGGGCCGTGATGCACATCGCTGTGGCTGGAAGTGGCATCAAAGCACTCCCTCTCCCAGGTCCAACCCGGGGTCCCTGGACTTTGGGTTTAGGCTGGGCATTACTGCCCCCGGGTGGACATTGGTGGTACTACAAAGGCCAGGATGCCCTGAGCCTGCGCTGTCCCATGTCAGGGCCTCCCCCATGGGTCACAGCTGGGAGGGGACCCTGCACAAGACACGCCCTCTCCCCATCCCCCGCCCAACTCCCAGTCTGGGCAGAGGGCACAGGCTGAGGAATAAAGAAGCCTGAAGTGATTTAGGGATCAAGAGTGAGAAGGGAGCCAAAACCGGTTTGGCTCAGTGGTGGAGCGTCGGTCTGCGGACTTGGGGGTCCCGGGTTCGATTCCGGTTGGGGGCATGTACCTTGGTTGCAGGCACATCCCCGGTGGGGCGTGTGCAGGAGGCAGCTGGTCGATGTTTCTCTCTCCCTTCTTCTCTGTAAAAAAATCAATAAAATATATTTTTTTTAAAAGAGTGAGAAGGGAGCCCTGGCCGGTTGTGCTCAGTGGATAGAGCGTCAACTTGAGGAATGAAGTTTCCTAGGTTCAATTCCGGTCAAGGGCACATGCCTGGGTTGCCAGTTCGATCCCAGTAGGGGGGTAGCCAATCAATGATTCTCTCTCATCATTGATGTTCCCATCTATCTTTCCCTCTCCCTCCCTCTCTGAAATCAATAAAAATATATTTAAAAAAAAAAAAAAGAGTGAGAAAGGACACAGCTCCTTAAAACCCTCCCCTGGTCCCATTTCTCAGTAAGCCTTCCCCTCACAGCCCCCAGACCCTCTGAACTCCCAGTATTCCATCATGGGTTTCGGGGGAGTGCGGGTTAGGTTATCCTTACCTGGACAGAGAGAAATATCGATGTGAGAGAAACCGTCGATTGGTTGCCTCCTGCATGAGCCCTGATCAGGGCCCGGGCTGAGGAGGATCCTGCAACCACGGTATGTACTTTTGACCGGAATTGAACCCCGGGACCCTTCAGTCTGCAAGCCTACACTCTATCCACTGAGCCCAAACCGCTAGGGCCATCCTGTTTTAAGGAGAAACGTGCCAGCCCCATAGCCCGCCCCCTTAGGGACCTCACCTGAGATGTAACAGCTGCCACCAGCCTGCTCTGTCCCACCAGCAGGGAGATATGGTCCCCAATCAATGGCACCTGCTGTTTTTCAGACTCACCACTGCCTCCCTGACCTTGGCCTGCTTCTCCTGAGGTCCCCCTCTTTGGAACCCAGCGTCCACCGAGTCATCTGGGTATTTTTTTTCATCGCAGTCTGACCCCGAGTGGCTGGGGGTCATTGAGGTCCCAGATCCTCCCAGGCCCCGCTCCCTCAGCGGGTGGGGTCTGGCCTGGGACAGCATCCTCACTCTCTCACGTCCTCCAGTGCATTTTGGAATCTGTAGAGAAGGAATCCTTTCCAACTCACACCCCATCAAGCTCCCACCCAGAACTAACTTCTGGTTCAGGGACACTCCCAGGAACACTTACCACCCTGCCCAGCAAGGGGCTTCAGCGATGCTGAACTGGGTCTTAGTTTCCCTGAGGTCCCAGCCCTCAGGGCCTCCACAAAGGAGGTGCTCAGCGAATGTGAGACAAATGAATGAATGAATGAATGGCCTCTGTGTGCCTGGTATGTATGTCAGTGCCTCTCTGTCTGGGCATACAAGAGCAGAAGCTAACCCCCCAGGCTGAGGCCGTGCCTTGGGGAAAATGGGTTAAACCAGGTGCTCTAAGGGACAGACTAACCCCAAACTGCTGGGGCCCCGGATGGAACCGCTGGGCACACCGTCACGAGATCCTCACCAAGGGCCATAGACCCAGATCTGCCGCTCAACCTTGACGTTCCAGTCATGGAAGCTTAGGACTGACAGGAACCCAAGAGTGTGTCTGGTTCTAATTGCCCATTTTAGAGATGGGGAGACTGAGGGCCTTGCAGAGAGACAACGGAACTGGCTGCGGGTCGGAATTTGGCTGGAAGATGCCCACGCCACAGGCTCTGTTCTCAGCCCGGGAAGAGGCACTGGAGACCAGGGATAACCAAAACCCAGATAATACTAGTTGAATGAGGGAGGAAGAAAAAGAGAAACAACAGGAAGAGAAGAAAATGAGAGGAAGCTATGACGACAGCAGGGACGGGTGTGTCGGCAGAGTGAAGCCCGGGACCGGTTCTGTGTTGCCCAGCTGTGTGACCACGGGTGGCCCCACACCCGCAAGTCTCAGTTGCCTCATCTTTAATGAGCAGGTTAGATACCTATTTCGTGTTGTTGTGATAATTGTGTGCATGCAAGAAGCATTGAGCACAAGCCTGGCACCCAGTGGGTGCTCAGTAATTAATACCTAAAAGAATGAGTCAGGGAGAGAGAAAAGCACACTCCCGGCAGAGTGGTGGGGGTCCCCAAAACCTGCCCACCTCAGAATTTGCTCTCCCCGGTTATTTGGGAAAATCCATGCCTCGAGCCAGCCCTGTCTCCTGCCCAAATTAAACAGTAACCACCCAAGGTCAGGGAAAGGGCCTTGCGGGAGCAGGTTTCTTTCCAAGAGGTGGCTCAGCCTTGACCAGTGGGCTCTCCCCGCTGACCCCTATAAATGGGCCCTTCCCGCTGGGACCGGCCACTCGCTGCTGAGCACGCAAACATGCTGGGCTTCACCGTCCTCGCCGCGCTCCTGGCCTGCGGTAAGCTGTGGGTCGGGGACCAGCTGCAGCCCATGGCCTTGAGCTTGGGCCTCCCAGGAACAGGGACCAGAACAGGGGGGCCCTCTGCTCTCAGAGGGGGGGGGTACAGGAAAGGAGCTTTGGGGTCCTATGAGGGTTCAGATACTGCTGACCCACTGTGTGTCAGATGAGCCACTTGCCCACTTGGCTTCCATCTCTGCAAATAGAGCTGATGATCTGGCCTCCCAGTGTGAGGAAAGAGCGGAGGTGTGG